CAATTTTATCTCAGGAACTATAAATGCAAATGAGTTGAAATTTTCAGGGATATTAGTCCTCTACTGGAATAGGAATCGCTGAAAATTTCAGCCTCCTATCTTTAATAGAAAAAAAGTTATAACCTGTCAAAGTTTTCCAAAATCTAAATCATAAGGTAGGTACCTTCCTACTGAAACAATAAAATTTCAAATTTTTTTGTGTGGAGATTTTGTGTCCTAATGGTCACTTGTGATCCCTCGATCTCCATACACTAAGTTATTTCCAGATTTGAAGCCGAAATCTATGAAAAAAGGCACTCAGAGAAATTGGAAAATTGATAAATCACCCCAAATTGCTTAACCCAATTTTATCTCAGGAACTATAAATGCAAATGAGTTGAAATTTTCAGGGATATTAGTCCTCTACTGGAATAGGAATCGCTGAAAATTTCAGCTTCCTATCTTTAATAGAAAAAAACTTATAACCTGTCAAAGTTTTCCAAAATCTAAATCATAAGGTAGGTACCTTCCTACTAAAACAATGAAATTTCAAATTTTTTTGTGTGGAGATTTTGTGTCCTAATGGTCACTTATGATCCCTGAATCTCCATACACTAAGTTATTCCCAGATTTGAAGCCGAAATCTATGAAAAAAGGCACTCAGAGAAATTGGAAAATTGATAAATCACCCCAAATTGCTTAACCCAATTTTATCTCAGGAACTATAAATGCAAATGAGTTGAAATTTTCAGGGATATTAGTCCTCTACTGGAATAGGAATCGCTGAAAATTTCAGCTTCCTATCTTTAATAGAAAAAAAGTTATAACCTGTCAAAGTTTTCCAAAATCTAAATCATAAGGTAGGTACCTTCCTACTAAAACAATGAAATTTCAAATTTTTTTGTGTGGAGATTTTGTGTCCTAATGGTCACTTGTGATCCCTCGATCTCCATACACTAAGTTATTTCCAGATTTGAAGCCGAAATCTATGAAAAAAGGCACTCAGAGAAATTGGAAAATTGATAAATCACCCCAAATTGCTTAACCCAATTTTATCTCAGGAACTATAAATGCAAATGAGTTGAAATTTTCAGGGATATTAGTCCTCTACTGGAATAGGAATCGCTGAAAATTTCAGCTTCCTATCTTTAATAGAAAAAAAGTTATAACCTGTCAAAGTTTTCCAAAATCTAAATCATAAGGTAGGTACCTTCCTACTAAAACAATGAAATTTCAAATTTTTTTGTGTGGAGATTTTGTGTCCTAATGGTCACTTATGATCCCTGAATCTCCATACACTAAGTTATTCCCAGATTTGAAGCCGAAATCTATGAAAAAAGGCACTCAGAGAAATTGGAAAATTGATAAATCACCCCAAATTGCTTAACCCAATTTTATCTCAGGAACTATAAATGCAAATGAGTTGAAATTTTCAGGGATATCAGTCCTCTACTGGAATAAGATTCGCTGAAAATTTCAGCTTCCTATCTTTAATAGAAAAAAAAGTTATGACCTGTCAAAGTTTTCCAAAATCCAAATCATAAGGTAGGTACCTTCCTACTAAAACAATGAAATTTCAAATTTTTTTGTGTGGAGATTTTGTGTCCTAATGGTCACTTGTGATCCCTCGATCTCCATACACTAAGTTATTCCCAGATTTGAAGCCGAAATCTATGAAAAAAGGCACTCAGAGAAATTGGAAAATTGATAAATTACCCCAAATTGCTTAACCCAATTTTATCTCAGGAACTATAAATGCAAATCAGTTGAAATTTTCAGGGATATTAGTCCTCTACTGGAATAAGAATCGCTGAAAATTTCAGCTTCCTATCTTTAATAGAAAAAAAGTTATGACCTGTCAAAGTTTTCCAAAATCCAAATCATAAGGTAGGTACCTTCCTACTAAAACAATGAAATTTCAAATTTTTTTGTGTGGAGATTTTGTGTCCTAATGGTGACTTGTGATCCCTCGATCTCCATACACTAAGTTATTCCCAGACTTGAAGCCGAAATCTATGAAAAAAGGCACTCAGAGAAATTGGAAAATTGATAAATCACCCCAAATTGCTTAACCCAATTTTATCTCAGGAACTATAAATGCAAATGAGTTGAAATTTTCAGGGATATTAGTCCTCTACTGGAATAGGAATCGCTGAAAATTTCAGCTTCCTATCTTTAATAGAAAAAAAGTTATGACCTGTCAAAGTTTTCCAAAATCTAAATCATAAGGTAAGGTACCTTCCTACTGAAACAATAAAATTTCAAATTTTTTTGTGTGGAGATTTTGTGTCCTAATGGTCACTTGTGATCCCTCGATCTCCATACACTAAGTTATTCCCAGATTTGAAGCCGAAATCTATGAAAAAAGGCACTCAGAGAAATTGGAAAATTGATAAATTACCCCAAATTGCTTAAAACGATTTTATCTCAGGAACTATAAATGCAAATGAGTTGAAATTTTCAGGGATATCAGTCCTCTATTGGAATAAGATTCGCTGAAAATTTTAGCTTTCTATCTTTAATAGAAAAAAAGTTATGACCTGTTAAAGTTTTCCAAAATCTAAATCATAAGGTAGGTACCTTCCTACTCAAACAATGAAATTTCAAATTTTTTTGTGTGGAGATTTTGTGTCCTAATGGTGACTTGTGATCCCTCGATCTCCATACACTAAGTTATTCCCAGACTTGAAGCCGAAATCTATGAAAAAAGGCACTCAGAGAAATTGGAAAATTGATAAATCACCCCAAATTGCTTAACCCAATTTTATCTCAGGAACTATAAATGCAAATGAGTTGAAATTTTCAGGGATATTAGTCCTCTACTGGAATAGGAATCGCTGAAAATTTCAGCTTCCTATCTTTAATAGAAAAAAAGTTATGACCTGTCAAAGTTTTCCAAAATCCAAATCATAAGGTAGGTACCTTCCTACTAAAACAATGAAATTTCAAATTTTTTTGGGTCGAGATTTTGTGTCCTAATGGTCACTTGTGATCCCTCGATCTCCATACACTAAGTTATTCCCAGATTTGAAGCCGAAATCTATGAAAAAAGGCACTCAGAGAAATTGGAAAATTGATAAATCACCCCAAATTGCTTAACCCAATTTTATCTCAGGAACTATAAATGCAAATGAGTTGAAATTTTCAGGGATATTAGTCCTCTACTGGAATAAGAATCGCTGAAAATTTCAGCTTCCTATCTTTATTAGAAAAAAAGTTATGACCTGTTAAAGTTTTCCAAAATCTAAATCATAAGGTAGGTACCTTCCTACTGAAACAATAAAATTTCAAATTTTTTTGTGTGGAGATTTTGGGTCCTAATGGTCACTTATGATCCCTCGATCTCCATACACTAAGTTATTCCCAGATTTGAAGCCGAAATCTATGAAAAAAGGCACTCAGAGAAATTGGAAAATTGTTAAATCACCCCAAATTGCTTAACCCAATTTTATCTCAGGAACTATAAATGCAAATGAGTTGAAATTTTCAGGGATATTAGTCCTCTACTGGAATAAGAATCGCTGAAAATTTCAGCTTCCTATCTTTAATAGAAAAAAAGTTATGACCTGTTAAAGTTTTCCAAAATCTAAATCATAAGGTAGGTACCTTCCTACTCAAACAATGAAATTTCAAATTTTTTTGTGTGGAGATTTTGTGTCCTAATGGTCACTTATGATCCCTGAATCTCCATACACTAAGTTATTCCCAGATTTGAAGCCGAAATCTATGAAAAAAGGCACTCAGAGAAATTGGAAAATTGATAAATCACCCCAAATTGCTTAACCCAATTTTATCTCAGGAACTATAAATGCAAATGAGTTGAAATTTTCAGGGATATTAGTCCTCTACTGGAATAGGAATCGCTGAAAATTTCAGCTTCCTATCTTTAATAGAAAAAAAGTTATAACCTGTCAAAGTTTTCCAAAATCTAAATCATAAGGTAGGTACCTTCCTACTAAAACAATGAAATTTCAAATTTTTTTGTGTGGAGATTTTGTGTCCTAATGGTCACTTATGATCCCTGAATCTCCATACACTAAGTTATTCCCAGATTTGAAGCCGAAATCTATGAAAAAAGGCACTCAGAGAAATTGGAAAATTGATAAATCACCCCAAATTGCTTAACCCAATTTTATCTCAGGAACTATAAATGCAAATGAGTTGAAATTTTCAGGGATATTAGTCCTCTACTGGAATAAGATTCGCTGAAAATTTTAGCTTTCTATCTTTAATAGAAAAAAAGTTATGACCTGTAAAAGTTTTCCAAAATGTAAATCATAAGGTAGGTACCTTCCTACTAAAACAATGAAATTTCAAATTTTTTTGTGTGGAGATTTTGGGTCCTAATGGTCACTTGTGATCCCTCGATCTCCATACACTAAGTTATTCCCAGATTTGAAGCCGAAATCTATGAAAAAAGGCACTCAGAGAAATTGGAAAATTGATAAATCACCCCAAATTGCTTAACCCAATTTTATCTCAGGAACTATAAATGCAAATGAGTTGAAATTTTCAGGGATATCAGTCCTCTGCTGGAATAAGATTCGCTGAAAATTTCAGCTTTCTATCTTTAATAGAAAAAAAGTTATGACCTGTCAAAGTTTTAACCCGTCAAAATTGACCACTCCAGGCACTCCATAGACCAAGTATCTCAACTCAGGCTTAGAGACCTCGCACTTTGGGGAATTCAACTTAAGATCAGCCCGCTTTATACGTAAAATGATCTTTCTTGAGTACCTATCTCGACATGCCTGTCAAAAGATGCGGTACCAAATAATAAAATCATTCAAATACGTGAAGACTGATAACTTGGCATAACGCTGGAGCATTGCTTAATCCAAATGGCATCATTTTAAAGTGAAATAGGCCTATAGGTTCAAGGGTCTGATGCCAATGCTCTTACGAAAACGATGAAATTTCAAATTTTTTTTCGTTTTTGTCTTAATGGTTCTTTGGGATATCTCAAACTCCATACAAACATATATAATTTACAAAACATTTAATTATAATAATTTCTTTCCAGGTTACGGAACAAATACGCTATCAAGTATGACCAAAGCCTCGCTAGATCCACACAGCCACCTTCGACAACCCGGTGAGTAACAAATAAGTGTCCGAAAGACAAAACTCCCCTAAACTTAATTTCGTCTAATGATTCGAGTAGGGCCCTTTTTTTTTCTTAATAAATAGTCCCTCAGTGTTCACGTACACTACTCCTTTATTTGCTCGCACATCATCCCCGGTTTGTTTGTCCAGGACTACTTTTCTAATGCACGATTTTGTTTGGGCAAACATCGACGCCCGAATTTAACATTTATTCGACGAAAAGTGCACACACACACACACACACCCTTCTTGGATTTGACCTTTCTACTGTCCATTATCAGAAGGAAGATCGATTGATTGATTGATTGGGGATATTTGATTCATATAATTTTTTTCAAAAAGATGAATATTGAAAATTTAAGGAGGAATAAATTAGACAAGAAACTAATACCATTTGGATTAAAGAATGCCCCAGTCACTTTTCAAATTTAGTTTGCCAAACACACTATAGATGTTTTGATAAGATTGCTTTACCACTATAATGAAACATGTTGTTTCGAGGAATTTACGTTTCACGCTCGTGCACGCGAAATATTTTATTCCCGATCCATACTTTTCCAATTTTACTTATCATGCAATATCACAAAAAGGCTTCACAATCAATTGAAACCCTACTATACATTACATTGATTTTTCGAATTTCGAAAAACATCCCTCTTGCAATTTTTTCCAAATACAAACAAATCACTGAATCACTTCACAATCTCAGTGTCAAATCTCAGTGAAAAAAAAACCCATTTAAACTATGGTCAAAGATTGGGGGGTGAATATTAAAAGAGGGGTGACACGCACGCGATTTGACCTCGATTAACCGGCTTGGGAAATTTAGTTTATAAAAGAAAATCCTACACGATAATGAGGTAATCAGGGGGGTCGTCTCCCTTTTTTTTGTTGCCGAATTAGGACATGACGGGGGGTCTTTTTTGCAACTGGAACATCTGGGAATTTGATTTGATTGGAATTATTGTTGATTGTAAAAAAAAAAAACGCAAATCTGTAATTATGATTTTCTTTTCTAGATCCATATCAAATGTTCGGCCCTACCAGTAGTCGTTTAGCGAGTTCAGGTGAGTTTTTCTCTGTTAATAGTTTGGATAATCGAAATAAAATTGCACTTTTAATGGAGGGGTGTGGGTCATGTGTTAATTGGAATTTGATGAATATAATATGGGACATTATTCTTGGAACAGGAGAGCAACGTTCTCATCTGTCTTGGTAGCCCAGATTCATATTTGAGTGACAAAGACAGTTCATGACAAAGTTGTTCTCTGGTGTTGAGAATAGACATCTTAAACAGTAGATGTGGCAACATTGTATCCATTTATGATAGTAATGACATCCTGTCAAAAGTTTGATAAAAAAACTGATGTATATCGCGCCGTGTGGGGATTTTGGAGCAAAGAAAAAGAAATAGAGACATATGATCTCACATAAGTCTATCTTTGTCAAACGAAGTAGAACGAGGTCATCAACTGCGTATGTAAATTAAATATTTGATTCTTATTGGCCAGTTGTTGGTAAACTCTGTCTAACCAAAGTTGATCGTTGAAGGTCACTTACTCATTCTTGTAATTATAGGATTCACATGTTTGGACCTATTTTGGTTTGATAAACACAATACGCGTGCAATAAATACAACAGCAAAAAGAACGTCTGTGATATATTTGAGTTAAGTGACCTTCAATGTTCAACTTTGGTTAGACAGAGTTTATTTTGTGAGTTCCGCAGCCATCACCTCATTTTTAAGAATAATTTGATATCAAAGTTCAATAATATGTTTTGTAACATTGAAATTTTCAAATTTTAATCTCCCTTGTCTATTTTTAGTTCCCTCTCTTTGTAAACCGGTTTACTGAAAGTTGGCAACATTGTATGCATTTATGACAGTAGTAACATTCTGGCAACAGTTTGGTTTAGATCACTTGAACTTCAACTTGTTCAAGCACAAATTAGTAAATGGCTGCGGAACTCGCTGCGCTCGTCCCGCAGAAGTTCACTTATGAATTCCGCAGCAACCAACAACTTGTTACATAAACTGAAAATTTATAAGATCATCCACTTTCTGTCAAATTACCTTTTGACAGGAGTCCGATAATGGTATTTTACCGCACTAGTGATAAAATGTGCAAACTTTCGTAACAACTTGCTCAAAGTACAGGGCGTGTACAAAAACATTTAGCTCGTTTATCAAGCGATAAATAAAATATACAATTAACAAAATACTAGTGTTGTATTTGCCGCATCTTCTGCATACACCCTGTATACTTACACGAAAGTTTTAGCGGTTTTAATTCGAACCCCTTAATTCAAATTAGCTCATTTAAATGTCGATTATCGCTCCCAGGTGCCGGAGGGTCAACAACGACGACGGTAAAAACTTAAAAAATCACGAGCAGGGGTGCGGTGGCCAGATTTATGTTCCAAAAAAAAAAAGAAGGGAAAACGGTGGTTAACGATACCGTTTTGGCTTTTGTTTCACGGTCGGCCAATCGTCCCCCCTATTTTTCGTGTACACGTCATTTTATATCTATAGGTGTAAGGACGCACGTGACTTGACCTTTTTTTGATTGGGTTTTTGCATGCTATAGTGTGTGGGAAGAAAAAAGTATTTTGATTTATGTAGTGTAGGTATAGCAAAAGTGCAATTTTGAAGGTAATTTATTTCACATTACGAACGTCAGTTTCAGTATGAGAAATGACACATTATGTCACTAGTTTGGTAAAGAAATATTGACACTTGCTTGTCATAAATGTTGCCAGTTCTAAGTAGAGTTTTACTCATCTAAGAACCACCCTGTTCAAGATTCAAATAATGACTAAGTTCTCGTTGCAAACCATAAAAGAAGATTTAGTTTCAAGATAAAGTAAAAGAGGGCACCATATTCGACTAAATACCATGTTCAAGTTCATTATGTAAATTCCTTCAATGTGCGCACAAACAGATTAAATTATGAAAATATCAGGTTGTAACCGGGGGTTGTTTCTTGATTAAGAACAGCGTCAAGAAACACGTCATCGCGCTCTATTATTATTATAATTTTTACGACGCAAAAATCAAAAAGTCGTTTCCGTGCCGAGTCGCCATTCGTTAAACCGAAATCGTGTCGGTAATGTCGCTCCCCCGTTTATCGAGGGACACCTCATTTCTGAATAATGCCCCGTCAATTTTCGCTAATTACGGTAACAAAACAAAATGTCGGTCGAGGTTTTTCGCGTGGGGGGCGAAGAAATTTGAAATTCAAATTCCCGGTAATAAAAAGCGCCCAAGGAGGAAGGAAACCGACGCATGTTACGTTCCGGCGTCCGGGCGATTTAGACACGGCTGTTTTGCATGTTGTTTCGATCCCAGACCGGAACACTTCGGACTTCGTCTATTATTAATAAACACCGAATGGACTGCCACGTTTTGTGTATATGCAAAACATTCAACTTGAGACTTTTTTCTCATATATACGTTGGTAATTTATTTGGAATTGAGGGTACAAAGTAAAACCGCTAGAAAATATACAGGAGTTGAAGGAATAAAGCAGTTCTGCAACCTCCGTTCTTTGGAGGAGATGACGTCATCTGTCAAGCAAGTCATCTTTCAATAAATAATGTTCCATTTCCAAAACACTCGAGTTATTGATATTTATGAAATAAAGTTCCACAGTTAATTAAAAGTCAAAAGTTTTTCTAGTAACATTCACTCAAGTTTTAGGCATTAAAATTCAAAGTTTAATCACGCAATTATTACTTTCCCAATTTTTCCGTACTTTTTCCAAGTTAAATCGAACGCGTTTTTCGAGGCAGCTTCGCGAATTTTCAACAGGACAAACTCATTTGGTTCTGTAAACTTTTACTCAAACTGGACTGGATTGCGAACTCATCTCTCAACTGACAACTCAACTGATAACTGGCATCTAACAACTGACGACTGCCTTCCACTTCTAAAAACGCGGTATTTATATTTTTTGATTCCCCTCCGAAATTTTTGTGTCTATGACAATTAAGATGATGCAATTTCCTTGAGATTTTTATCAATTTTAGTCTAAAAAATCGAATAATTATGTCGCAATATCCTAATTTATCGAGGTCAAATACATCTTGGTGCAAGAATGCCATAAATCATTTATAATTACTTGGCCTCGCTCTTATAAGTTCATTGATTTGGTGTTAGGATGACATCACACTGTCTTTAATTTAGATGATAACAGGCTGGGTGTTGAATTACGTTGGCGTTAATTTGTTTCATTTTTAATTTATCGATACAGATTTAGAAATACCGGAAATTAAGTTTTTGATTATTTGATAATTATTTAATTTTTACAGTAAAGACATTGTGAATCACGGGTCTAATTTCTGGATCATTACAAAGTCATCTGTCAATGAATGATGTGACATCTCGTGATCAGCTGTCTGCTGTCAAGCACTTGTCAATCATGTCCACGCAAAAGATATGGCGGACACAACTTGTATATATATATTTTTTTTAATGGAACACCCTGTATATTTTTCAATAATCGACTTGTATATTATAAAAGTTATGTTTTCTAGCGGTCTTCGTAAATTCCCATTTACTTTTTATTTACATTTTGTTTCATAAACGAGTTATATGCTTTCATACCTGTATATTAAACAAGTTTGCACATTATGTCACTAATTCGGTGAAGTAACTAGTGCCGGACTCCTGTCAAAAGGCAATTTGACAGAAGAGAGTAGATAGTATTACAAATTTTGAGTTTATGTGACAAGTTAATTAACTTAAAATGAGTGGATTACTACGGAACTTATGGGTGGACCGCAGCAATTAACTTTACAATGAATCGACGTTTGGACTTCACGACGAATTGACGTAAGACGAATTGACTTACGACAAATTGATATAGACGTATAGGCCCATTGTTTCGAACTGGTGAAGCAACTAATTTGAGATAAAAGAATGCCATCTTTGTCTAGGAAAAATCTTGTATTTTAATGCATATGTTGCAGTGTTGCCAAAGTCATAAAAAAAAACATCAAAAAAATCAAAACCAATTTTTCAATAAGTTGGTCTTTTATCCTAATTGACAAATGAATTGATCGACTGGAAATTATCGTTCTGGAACGGTTCTCATGTCGATTGGAACAGACCTGATATCAGGGTGTCTATTCTCGAAACCGGGGAACAGTGCTTCCCTGAAAAATGAAGGTTTTGTCTTAGTCGCTTATATTTATATTTCCATAACCAGTGGCGGCTCGTCAGAGGAGGCAGGGGAGGCTAATCCTCCCCCAAAAAATTGAAAATTCAATCTCAGTTTTTCATTCCTGATTCCTAATTGAAATGATAATTTACAAATTTCGATATTTCAATGTAATTTAGAAAAATCTGACAACATTATTTCAATCAATCCCGCGCCTTCACGACAAAAATCTGTGAATCTGGGATACTCAGTAATACCGGCCCGAAGGGCCGGAGTTATATGCGAGCCCGAAGGGCCGGAGTCATATGCGAGCCCGAAGGGCCGGAGTCATATGCGAGCCCGAAGGGCCGGAGTCTTATGCGAGCCCGAAGGGCCAAAGTTATTTTAATCACGAGGCTCAATCTATAATTCTATTGGTCAGCGAATAATTTGAAGTCAATTAAAAACCGGGAGTATTTAAAATGCGATGCGTCCAATCAAAGAGCCGGGAATATTCAAAAACTTCAGTTTTATCAAATTGACTTTGGAATGTTGGTTTTCTATGGGGTTTTCTTAAGATTTTTACTTTTTTTAGAAAACGGTGCTTTTGCAAACATATACTACTTTATCGTTGTCTTTGTCTTACTCATTATAATCAATAAGTAAACCTTATAATTTCATTTTCATTGAAATTAAACTAAAAACAAGTTTCCTATGATTTATTTGGGAAATTTCAATTATCATAATCATCGGGATTTGATTTTCGTAGCTTTTATAGTAGAGCGGGGAAAAAGTCGAACATGTGTCAAATTTGACAGGTGACATCTGTCGATATCGCCAGAGTGTCGTGCGACAAAAGTTTTATCCGAACGAACCCGTTCATTGTCAACTAATTTTAATACTCCGGCCCTTCGGGCCGTTATCTTTGAAACAAAAAGACGTCATTTTACATCGATTGTCAAAAAAATCAAGGTCTACTTTGAAATTTCAATTTTTTGACGTTTGTTGTATCATGAGCAGTGTTGCCATATGTTTTCTTTTCAAATCACGAGCTCGAAGGGCCGAGATTATAGGTTATTTTAAAGCCAATCAAGAACCGGGAATATTCAAAATTTAAAGCCAATCAAGAGCCGGGAATAATGAAAATTCGAATAAGCAGTGTTGCCATATGTTTTTTTTTCATATCTCGATTCTAGAAGGCTGAGATTATCTCAATTATGAGGTTAAAGGGCCGATGTTATACGAGTCCAAAGGGCCAGAGTCATGCGAACCCGAAGGGCCGGAGTTATACGAGCCCAACAGACCGGAGTTATTTTAATCATGAGCCCGAAGGTCCGAGGCTATACAAGCCCGAAGGGCCGGAATTATACGAACCCTTTCATTGTCAATTGATTTTAATACTTTCACTATATTTTTTAGCCTCCTCACTTGAAATAGTCACGAGCTGCCACTGTCCATAACACTGACAAAGACAGAGCCATCGTTCTTGTGAGAACGCTGTTCCCCAATTTCGAGAATGGTAATTTAGTTTGCGGTCTATACAATTTCTTCCCGGATAATATACCCAAATACTAGTGGAAAATACCCAATTTTTGGGGAATTACTCAACTAATGGCAACACTGGATATTAACCAAACTTTTGACAGAAGGTCACAGTTGCATACAATGTTGCCAATGTTGAAATATATTCGTTTATCCATATATCCGTCAACATCATTATTTTGAGAATGTACTTGAACAATTTGTAACAAAATTTAACAGTGCCGGACTCATATCAAAGGGCAATCTGACAGACACTGGATAATTATACAAATGTTGAGCCTATGTAACAAGTTGTCCAAGTACAAATGAGTGGATTGCTGCGGAACTCATGAATAGAGACCTCTGTAGCCATCTACTGACTAATATAATACTGTTGAACTGAACTGTTCAAATAAGACACTCATCTGAAACGAGTAGTTTTTGAACTAATGAGAAAAACTTACAATTAAGTGAGTTAGGTTAGTATCGTACTTAAGCAACATATTGATAAGTAGATGGCTGCGGAACTCGCTACGCTCGTCCCGCAGAGGTCCACCTATAAGTTCTGCAGTAATCCACTTATTTGTACTTGAACATCTTGTTACATAAAGTCAAAATTTGTAGAATTATCTATTGCCTTTTGACAGAAGTTCGGCACTGTTACTTCATTGAACTAATGACATAATGTAACAAAGGAGTAGATTGTTGCGGAACTCATGGGTGGACCTCTGCGGGACGAGCACAGCGAGTTCCGCAGCCATCTACTCATTTATATTCAAACAACAAGTTGCATATTTATAAATGTACTAAAAGGATCTTTTACTGATTTAAACCAAACTTTTGACAGAATGTCACTACTGTCATAGATACCATACAATGTTGTCAACTCTAAGTAAAACATTTTACAAAGGAAGGGAATTAAAAATTGGAGCCGGAAATAAAATGAAATTTCAAAATTCGAATGTAACATTAAATATTATTGAACTATGATATTAGGTTATTCTTAAAAATGAGTTGATGGGTGCGCAGAGGTCCACCCATAAGTTCCGCAACAATTCACCCATTAGTACTTAAACAACTTGTAACAAAAGTTGGATATTTATAAATGTAAATACTACTGCACTCATTGCAACGTTGTCAAACCTATATCTTCGTCTTTCCATTTTAAATTCAGCCTTTTTTACAAAATTATGTGAAATTGACTCACATTATAGTGACAACTTAGCAACACTGTAAAGGGTATATTTTGTTGTATACGAATTCTGGATTTATTTTTCAGGTTCAGGTCAAATCCAGCTCTGGCAATTCTTACTGGAGCTGCTCAGCGATTCAACGAACGCCGCGTGCATCACGTGGGAGGGCACGAACGGCGAATTCAAGCTGACGGATCCCGACGAGGTGGCCCGCCGGTGGGGCGAACGAAAATCGAAACCCAACATGAATTATGATAAGCTTAGCAGAGCGCTAAGGTAATTTCAACTTGTTGTACAATACAATACCCTCAAACAAAAAGTAATCAAAAATCATAATCTGTTCTTTTGACGTTATTATTTTTCCAATCAATAGAGGGCGTGGTAATCAAATCGCCAGACTCCATTTATAGCAATTAGCTTCCGCTATCGGCGAAAAGGATAACCGAGTTACGGGGTCCCCATTGCGAAAGCTCATTTTTACTTTTGCTCTGCTTTTTCCCCGAAACGTGATTGTTGCCCATAATCGAAAACGATTGTGTGCGTTGTAACTAGGGGAGAGTTTCGATAAATTGATTTTTAATTTTTCCAGATACTACTACGACAAAAACATTATGACGAAAGTGCACGGGAAACGGTACGCGTACAAGTTCGACTTTCAAGGATTGGCGGCAGCTACGCAGCCGGCTACCAGCGATCCGAGCAGCTACAAGTACCAGAGCGACTTTTTCATGAGCTCGTACCATCACAGCGCTAAGTTAGGTGGGTTTATGGGACCACACGCTACTATACCGAGCTCAGCAGGTAAATAGAATCCCCTCATGTATACAGAGTGTTAATTTCAAAATTTTCAATGCAAATATCTCTGAAAATAAAGAAGTTAGGAAAACGTAATTTGGTACAAAAATGTTATACAGGTAGGGGGAACTAGAACCACCATATTTTGGTTATGGGGTGGGGGGGGGGGGGGGGGGGAATGAATCATTTTGAGTATAGTATTCACCTGCACAAGAATTTTTTCAAAAAATATTTAATTTTATGTATTATTATTCAAAATGTTGGGGCTGGGGTACATGGGGCTCAAGGGTACATTAAAACCAAAATATGGTGGTTCTACCTGTATAACATTTGTACGAAATTACGTTTTTCTAACTTTTAGAGATATTCACATTGAATTTTTTTCCAAATTGACACTGTGTATAATATTCATGCGGCATTAAAAAATAATTACTACACTACGACTTAATGGGGTCTTAGTTAACACATTCCAACCCCGAAAACTGGGATTTAATGACGTAATTCGTTGATTACGCATTGTTTTCGACCCCTCGCTCGGTGCTCACGAGGGCCCTAGCCGATCATTACATGTCATTTAATCAACCCCCTACTAGTCATACTAAATATAAGGATTTCGTTACAAGTTCTACGACTTTTTGTCCCAGTATATTTATGTTATTGGAATTTGACAGAAAGTGTTTTGTACAAAGACAAATCTGGAATTTTAGAGGATTATAATGAAAATATCTAAATATATTGAGTGGATATAAAAGATTTTTTTTTATAGATTCTATATAGGGTTCATTATTGGAAGGTTTTATCAAAAGTGTTAGTGCATTAATGACATAACGTGCCAACTACAAATGAGTAAATTATTTTGGAATTAATGGGTGGACCACTGCGGAACGAGCGCAGCGAGTTCCGCAGCCATCTACTTATCAATACACTATTCAAGTGCAATACTGACTTCTGACTCATTTATTTGTGTTTCTTTCATTAGTTCAAAAATTACATGATTCAGATGAGTATCTTGCTTCAACAATTCAATAGTATATTGGTAAGTAGAGGTCCACCCATGAGTTCCGCAACAATCCACTTATTTGTACTTGTACAACTTCTCACATTATGTTACTAATTAGATGAAGTAATATTACTAATTAGGTGAAGTAATATTACTAATTAGGTGAAGTAATATTACTAATTCCTATTTAAAAGGCAATTTGACAGAAAGTGGGTAATATTAGAAATTTTGGGTTTATGTAACAAGTTGTTCAAGTATAAATGAGTAGATCACTGCAAAACTCATCGGTGGACCTCTGCGGGACGAGCGCAGCGAGTTCCGCAGCCATCTACTTCTTAATACGCTATTCAAGTATGATACTGACTTCTGATTCACTCAGTTGTGTTTCTTTTATTTAGTTCAAAAATTACATGATTCAGGTGAGTATCTTGCTTCAACAGTTCAATAGTATATTGGTAAGTAGATGGCTGCGGAACTCGCTGCGCTCGTTCCGCAGAGGTGCACCCATCAGTTTTGCAGTAATCTACTCATTTATACTTGAACAACTTGTTACATAAACCCAAAATTTGTAATATTATCTACTTTCTGTCAAATTGCCTTTTAAATAGGAATTAGTAATATTACTTCACCTAATTAGTAACATAATGTGATAAGTTGTTCAAGTACAAATAAGTGGATTGTTGCGGAACCCATGGGTGGACCTCTGCGGGACGAGCGTAGCGAGTTCCGCAGCCATCTACTTATCAATACACTATTCAAGTGCAATACTGACTTCTGACTCACTTATTTGTGTTTCTTTCATTAGTTCAAAAATTACATGATTCAGGTGTTTTATTTGAACAGGTCAACAGTATATTGGTGAGTAGATGGCTGCGGAACTCACTGCGCTCGTCCCGCAGAGGTCCACTCATGAGTTTTGCAGTAATCTACTCATTTATACTTGAACAAGTTGTTACATAAACCCAAAATTTGTAATATTATTCATTTTCTGTTAAATTGCCTTTTAAATAGGAATTAGTAATATTACTTCACCTAATTAATGACATAATATGATAAGTTGTTCAAGTACAAATAAGTGGATTGTTGCGGAACTCATGGGTGAACCTCTGCGGGACGAGCGCAGCGTGTTCCGCAGCCATCCTACTTATCAATACACTATTCAAGTACGATACTGACTTCTGATTCACTCAGTTGTGTTTCTTTCATTAGTTCAAAAATTACATGATTCAGATGAGTATCTTGCTTGAACAGTTCAAGAGTATATTGGTAAGTAGATGGCTGGGAAACTCGCTGCGCTCGTCCCGCAGAGGTCCACCCATAATTTTTGCAGTAATCTACTCATTTATACTTGAACAACTTGTTACATAAACCTAAAATTTGTAATATTATCCACTTTCTGTTAAATTGCCTTCTAAATAGGAATTAGTAATATTACTTCACCTAATTAATAACATAATGTGATAAGTTGTTCAAGTACAAATAAGTGGATTGTTGCGGAACTCATGGGTGGACCTCTGCGGGACGAGCGCAGAGAGTTCCGCAGCGATCTACTTATCAATACACTGTTCAAGTACGATATTGACTTCTGATTCACTCAGTTGTTTCTTACATTAGTTCAAAAGTTACATCATTCAGGTGAGTGTCTTGCTTGAACAGTTCAAGAGTATATTGGTAAGTAGATGGCTGCGGAACTCGCTGCGCTCGTCCCGCAGAGGTCCACCTGTAAGTTGTGCAGTAATCTACTCATTTGTACTTGAACAACTTGTTACATAAACTCAAAATTTGTAATATTATCCATTTTTTGTCAATAGAAATAAGTAATATTACTTCACCAAACTAGTAATATAATATAAGTTGTTCAAGTACAAATGAGTGGATTTTTGCGGAACTCATGAGTTCCGCAGCCATCTATTTACCAATACGCTATTAAAGTTATTTATAGAACGCACTCCTGTAGAATGTAGATTGTCTCAAAATAAAATGTTGACAGTGACAGTTGAGTTTGTACGCTAAAAATCCTTTAAAAAAGAGAAGATTTGTTTAAAATAAACTGAAGGATATTTAAAAAGGCTGTGGTTTAATTTTTTTGAGAAACAGAATATTACAAGAGGTTATGGGCCCAGGCAGTTTTCAAGGTAGGAAATAAAAAATCAAGTCAAAAGTTGAAGGTAGCAAATGAGCGACAGAAAAAAAAACAAAAAAAGGAAGGCTGCAGCAATGGTAAACTCTGTCTAACCAAAGTTGAACGTCGAAGGTCACTTACTCGAATATATGCTGCTGTCTTTATTGCACACGCACTGTGTTTATTAAACCAAAATAAGTCAGAACGTGTGTGAATCCTATAGTTACAAGGATGAATAAGCAGTGTTGCCACATGTGGCTTCATATGGCCAGATCTGGCCCTTTCTAAGACAAAGTGCCCTGTTGGCCACTCTTTTTCGAATCTGGCCCATTTCTCCATAACAAGCCAAATCATGCAAAATAAACGTTTTTGGGCGTGGCACCCGAAAAAAATTTCTGCCTCCGGCGGTACCTGTGACGGGCTTTCTCTCTTCTTTTTAATTTGAAAACGGCTTGCCCGAAATTCAGAAATCTGGCCCATTTTAAAAATAGTCTGGTACAGAGTTTTCAGAGCCTGTGACAACACTATGAGTAAGTGACCTTCAACATTCAACTTTGGTTAGACAGAGTTTAATACTGGTTACTAGAGAAAAAAACGAGTGGCAAAATGGATTAAATATGAATTTAATGATAGCAGATACAAAGATGACAGAAAAAAAAAGAAACAAGACAAGCAAATGTCACCTCTGACTCACAGTTGTGAGTTTCACTCGTTAGTTCAAAAACTACTCAACAGGTGAGTGTCTTACTTGAACAATTGAACAACGTATTGGTAAGTAAATTGCTGCGGAACTTGCAGCAATGCACCCATTTGTAGTTCAACAACTTGTTACATAAACCTAAAATTTGTGAGATTATCCAATTTTTGTCAGATTGCCTTGTGACAGAAGAGTCTGACAATAATTAGTGTACAAAATTCCCTCGAAAAATCCAATAAAACTACCGAAAATACATCGACAGAAATCACAAATGGATAATGGATATTTGCTACGCTGTCCGTCCGCGTAGACGCATCCATCGCCGTCCCTAGGGACTTTTTATTGCCCCAGGACGAATTTATTAGTTCCCTTTTGTTTCGGTTATTTATTCCCGGGAGGGTTAATTGGTAATTTGTTATTGTTTGTCCCCCTCCTTTGGTGCATCGCACATAAATCTGTCGACCGCCGATAATAAAAGAGAATCTTTTTTGATGATGCGGTTATACTTCTATTAGCTATATTACGATAATTTTGGCAACGTACCACATATGTATGCATCAAAATGTTTTTCCCTAAATTTAGGGAAATCTATAGTGAGTGTCAACTACAACTGTCATATTTTTTTGTTTTTTAGCTTCGATTTTCCCGTCGCCGGGTTCGTACTGGAACAGTCCTGGTGCCAATTTGTACTCGAACATCGCTGCTGGCACCCACTCGATAAGCCACCACGCGGCGCCCCACCTGGGGGCGCCGCCGCTGAGCAGCTACCCGCACTACGCATGACCGAATGGCGCGGGCGCCAGTGCCGTAGATTGGACCAGGAAATTGACAATGTAAATAATAATGTTGTCCCGAGCAATAGAAACTATGTATTATTATCTAGTCAATGTGCAATTATTGTATATAATTTTGTATTTTTAACACACAAACCGGCGGGACTCTGTGATAAACATTTTTGCATTAATTTTTTTTAATATACAGGGTGGCCACGAATTATTCATGGCCACCTTATACAATTTGCAATAATTTTTTTATTGTTTTCCTCTTTAAATTTTAATGAAATGTTTCAATGTAAATACTAATTGTATATTGAGTCTAATTTTAGGTATTTGTCTATTAAGAATATATCGTAGGACTATTTGAAGACACTCTTTTTTTGTACTGAGTGCCAAAAATAATAGAAATTATACTCTAGTCATAATAGCCGTACTAATAAATGTTAGACAACTAAGGCCATGTTTAGAATAGTCATGGTTATTAAAAAAAACTTTAAAAAAAAGAAGACATATTGTAAGTCTTTTGAAAAAAAATAAAAATAAATGTTAAAACATATTAATAAATAAATTATAGTCTGGATTTTTGTTTTGAAATTCCTTAGTCTGACGCCCGCCCTCCTCTTTCCAGTTTAAAAGGGGGCTTTTTAAATCTTTCAAACTACATAAATACATAACATCACATATCGAAAAGTAGCTGCCAACAAGCCAAGCCAAGGGGGAGAAAAAAAGACGAAAATTCAGGGTCCAGTGAAATCGTGCGTGAAACGTATGCCTGTCAAGAGACACGCGTCACATAATGACGTAATAATGTATTGATACAGAACGCCACCCCTTGAATAAGAATTTCTTTTCTCCCAATAGGGGGGAATAAATATAATATTTCAACCTCTAGTAGCGAAATTAATAAATCATCTTTTAAACGAGACATTTTTTCATTATCTCGGGGGCCAGGTTTTCCATTGGTTTCCAAGGGGCGGCAATCGATCGGAGGCGGCCGCCCAATTAGGTCACAGGATGCTCCCCATTTGCCGGAAGTGCACCTGCTGGGACTGACTGCCTGGCGGCGGGAATTGTAATCGACTTTCTGGGGTAAAATGTCAGTCAATTTTCAACATTCATTAATCAAAATTGAATTCAATAATTGATTATCAAAACATTATTGGACTACTTACGATGAACTACTTCTATGATTTCATAAACACAAACGCTTTTGCGAGAAACTTATGACGTCATATTAAACGTAGTTTGCTGGAAACATGGACGCAGCGTTCAAAATCATGACGTATGACGTCACAAGACGAACTATGGATTGAAATTCGGTTTTAAGCAAGTACAAATGAGTAGATTACTTTGAAACTTATGGGTGGACCTCTGCGGGACGAACGCAGCGAGTTCCGCAGCCATCTACTCACCAATATACTGTTGAATTGTTCAAGTAAGACACTCACCTGTGACGAGTAGTTTTTGAACTAATGAGAAAAACTTAAAACTGAATGAGTCAGATTAGTGTCATACTTGAACAGCATATTGGTGAGTAGATGCCTGCGGAACTCGCTGCGCTCGTCCCGCAGAGGTCCACCTATGAATTCCGCAACAATCCACTCATTTGTACTTGATAAATTTTTAATTTATGTAACAAATTGTTCAAGTACAAATGAGTAGATTACTGCAGAATTCATGGGTGGACCTCTGCGGGACAAGCGCAGCGAGTTCCGCAGCAATCAACTCACCAATATACTGTTGAATTGTTCAAGTAAGACACTCACCTGTGACGAGTAGTTTTTGAACTAATGAGAAAAACTTAAAACTGAGTGAGTCAGATTAGTATTATACTTGAACAGCATATTGGTGAGTAGATGGCTGCGGAACTCGCTGCGCTCGTCCCGCAGAGGTCCACCTATGAATTCCGCAACAATCCACTCATTTGTACTTGATAAATTTTTAATTTATGTAACAAATTGTTCAAGTACAAATGAGTAGATTACTGCAGAATTCATAGGTGGACCTCTGCGGGACGAGCGCAGCGAGTTCCGCAGCCATCTACTCACCAATATATTGTTGAATTGTTCAAGTAAGACACTCACCTGTGACAAGTAGTTTTTGAACTAATGAGAAAAACTTAAAACTGAGTGAGTCAGATTAGTATTATACTTGAACAGCATATTGGTGAGTAGATGGCTGCGGAACTCGCTGCGCTCGTCCCGCAGAGGTCCACCTATGAATTCCGCAACAATCCACTCATTTGTACTTGATAAATTTTTAATTTATGTAACAAATTGTTCAAGTACAAATGAGTAGATTACTGCAGAATTCATGGGTGGACCTCTGCGGGACAAGCGCAGCGAGTTCCGCAGCAATCAACTCACCAATATACTGTTGAATTGTTCAAGTAAGACACTCACCTGTGACAAGTAGTTTTTGAACTAATGAAAAAAACTTAAAACTGAGTGAGTCAGATTAGTATTATACTTGAACAGCATATTAGTGAGTAGATGGCAGCGGAACTCGCTGCGCTCGTCCCGCAGAGGTCCACCTATGAATTCCGCAACAATCCGCTCATTTTTACAAGGTGATCTATTATAAATGTCACCCCCTGCTAACTTTTTCATTTGACGTTTTTGACAGAAGTGTTGAATACAAAAGTTTTAAGAAATTGTCAAAAGTTTTTAACTATGTCAATTTTAAGCATACAGGGTGTGTCAAAAAGATGTAGCAGAGCGAAATTGAATTTTTTAAATGGGTGAATTTTTGACAATTTCTCAAAACTTTTGTATTTGACACTTTTGTCAAAAATGTCAAATGGAAAAGTTAGGAAGGACTAACATTTATAAAAGATCACCCTGTACTTGAATAACAAAGCAACTGAAAATAGAATTTTTTGCACCTTACTTGGAGTAAGAAAACAACTTTAAAAAAAAACTCTCTAATAAAAACTTGGAATTTATCCGTATTACGTCACAACGTTTGAGAGCTGATGTCAAAATTGATAATCCAACATCGATTAAAAGGTCTAATGAAGCAAACGTCACTTGTCAACCAATCGATATTAAATGACGTTAAATGCATTGTTCATCTGTCAATATAACCAACTGGTTAATCGCCTTCATTTGACTCACTAAAAGCCGGTTTCTCAATACCGAACCATCTCTGGATTGGTTTTATTTAACTCCAGGTTAAATGTGTCCAGTTGCAATGTTTACTCTGGAGTTATAGTTAACCCGAGGGTGACTTGCTATTAGGAAATTAGCCATTAAAATAGAGAACAAATAAGAATCTAGAAGAAATAATTTTTATAGGAAAATTGTAAGGACCAATAACAGGTCCACTAGAGAAACAAACAGTGACAATTTTTGGGAAAATAGAACCAATGTAGGGCCAATAATTATGACAAATACTTTTGAATAACGGTGACATTGGGACAATTTAGGATTCAATGTGACAATAATTAGGTACTAGCTGACGTCTCACACATAACCTCAATGACATAATTATTTGCTTGTCTCCCCAACGAAAGTGAGGTTATGTGTGTGACGTCAGCCAGTGCCACTTTTCTAGCGCCAGTGCCTAATTAGGTACTTAATTAATTTTAGTAAAAATTAATCTGTTTCTGACAAATTGCTTGTATTTACGATAATATTTGAGCGAATTTACTTCCACTGTATATTATTGAAAAGAGCATGAAATTCTCTATAAAATGAGCAAAATTTGTTATTAGTAGGTAGCTTAAGTTCTCATAGTCTCTGAGAGTAGATATACATGGTTTGTTCTATGACCTTCAACGCCTCCGTGACGTCTGCGCATGCGTTTTGACAGCTGTCATCTTGTACGAGGTAACAAGTCATGAAGCACCTGTCATTTTGTACGGGATAACAAATCACGAGGTACCTGTTATCTTGTATGAGGTTACACTTAGAGCAAGTAAAGGTAAAGAGGAGTAGTAACCTGGAATTGGAAAATGGAGCCGTTTTTTTCCAGGTATTTTGACACCAAAAAAATGGCGGTATAGGCAATTCAATGCTTTACCTGCCAAAAACTTGGCTTCGCTTTAGTTTCATAAGCAGAATGGCGCGTTCCTACTTCTTATGTCCGTAGGACAGCCCTTTACCTTCTCTAAAGGGTAACAAATTACGGGGTCATGTCAAATACCAGCTGACAAGTGTTAAATTTGAGAAATTTAGCATAAGGAGCTTGTGAAGGATGAGGTCATACATAGCGAGACTTTAAAAAAAAAACAATCAAAGATTGCTTTGATTATGAAAATGTACGTCAAAAGGATTTTTGACATGACATTTTGACATTAAAGTTCATTGACAAAATTAAAGACAAATGTTTAAAAAACCATAGTAATCTTTGATTGGTTTTTTTTTTGAAGACCCGATATTTTCACCAAAAAAAAGATAATTCGATTTGAGATAAGGAAGTTATAGTTTTTCGCGGTTTTTGCCCAAATCACGGGTGACAGATAACGTGACAGGTGTTGGCACCCCGTGACTTGTTACCCCGTACAAGATGACAGGTACCTCATGACTTGTTATCCCGTACAAGATGACAGCTATCAAAAATTACAGGTGACAGTTGACAGGTAACGTACGTCAAAATACGGGCCACGCCCTAAAATATAGCATAGCACACGTGGCCATAATTTGGGTTAGTTCGGATTATTAGATTTTCTACTGCGTACCTATGCGAAAAATTATCAGTCAGAAAATGTTGATTTTTATTATTTTTCAAACATTTAGAGCCAGTTTATTCATCTTCTGATAAACTGTCAGATATGCAATTTGACAAATAAAAACGCAACCTGTAATCTGTAATTTCATTGGTCCACCAGTTATTCGCCGACCAATAGAATTATAAAACGGTAAATTAATCTTGCATACAGTTACCATCAGTTTATCTGAAGATGAATAAACTGGGGGTCTTAATAGAAGTATACAGGTCTATGATGTATCAGTGCCGTAGCCAGGGGGGGGGCATTGGGGGACAATGCCCTATCTTTCAAATGATGATGCCTTACCTTTAAAACACAACATGCGTTGAGGTTTATCTAGAGAATTTAATAGAAGATGAAAACACTGTTTCAACCGACATGAGAACCGTTCTAGAACGGTAATTTTCAGTCGATCAATTCATTTGCCAAGGAGGATAAACGTTCAACTTATTGAAAATTAGGTGGGCAATTGGAAATCACTAGTTCTAGAACGTTTCCTATGTCCATTGCACCACAACTAATGAATGAACCTGAAATCGAATAAGTTGGTAGGCATACAGTTATTTTACAAGTAGTACAAGTACAAGAGGTCCTTCAAAAATTATTGCCTGAACGCGCCATTTTGTTTATTCGCCAGAAATGTTATTTGATGTTGTTTATTGAAAAATTTGCCTTCGGCGCCATTAGCCCCATTCTGGTTACCTATAAAAAATTTGAGGGCGGAGGGAAGTAGTGCATGCCCTATGTCAAATTTTTCATGCCCTACCACAAATTTGACTCTAGCTACGGCCCTGTGATGTATCCTCTCCTGTTATTTTAACAGTTGTATTATATGTAGTTGAAAATCTATACCTGT